TGATGATAGGATGGGTACTCCTGCTAGTCTTTTATTTCTTTTCCTTTCAGTCTGTGTGTGTGTGTGTGTCCTTTTGGTGAGGTATTTTTTTTTTAAGTTTTAAGCCTTTTTATTCAGTGGAGGTGCATACAGGCCAGGAAGCATGGGGCAAGTGGCCCAAAGGCCACATGCCCTGGAGTTGCAGGGCAGCACTGGCTCACAATGGCAAATGGCCAAAAAATAGCTGGGCCCACTATGTCCCAGGCCTTTAATCCACTTCCAAATGGAAATGGTTAATTAGCCTGATTGGCTGGTGGGCACACAGATGTGTCCAGGTAAGGGCAAGGAGGTCACACAGGGGCGAAGGTGTGACCTTCGAAGGGTGAAAGTGTGGTCTTCCAGCTCACAAACCTGATCAATTTTATCAGGGAGGAGAGCAATGTGCCCTCTCTTCATGAAACTAAGTAAGCACATTGCCCCTCCAACTCTCCATGCCAGAATCAAAGTAACTGAGGACTGGCTTTCTGCTTCAGACAAAATCCACCAGTGGCCTGGGCCATAGCCTCCTTTACTTGCCTCACTCTGGGAAGAAGGTGCTTCCTTCCTGCTGATCACTGGTAACCTTGGTGAGGAGAGGGAAGGAAATCAACGGCACTCCCTTCATGGGGTTAGGTGGGAACCCTGCTCCCCACCAGCTCTTCAAGCTGGATTCAGTGGATTCAGTGGGGCTGTGAGGTTCTCCCTCAGACAAGATCACCAGTGATATATGGGCTGCTGCAGTTTTATCTCACCTAAGTCTGAGATTATGGTGTATCTACTGGCCACAAGAGTTGCTGGTAGTTTCATGCTAGCTGCTGCATGTTTGTCCAGTCTTAACTGCTCCAGGACTTATACCAGTACGCTTTTACAGACAGGATTCCAAGCAGTGGCTTGATCCATTGTACCATAACACCCACTCCTAACAGATCTTTTACATTCTAGATCTGATTTTGCTCTCCCATGTTAACCACTGGATTAAGAACATATGATTAGTTTCTTAATAATTTACATGATCTACTTTTGTACATTATTTTAAGCATCACATAACTATAATTATTAATATGATAACTACTTTATATCTTTCACCTTTAACAAAAATTAATCCAATTTAAAATCTTTTGAGTATAATGAATTTTGTCACATGAGCTACTGCTTGAAATAAGTGAACTTTCACCCAAGGCTTTCAAATCTTTCCACTATAAATATTTATACTTTAAATATAAGATAGTTGTGAAGTTCAAAGGGAAGCAAAAAGTATGCACTGTTTAACATATGAGAGAACAAAGAGAAGAATTCAGAATGTGATGGAATGATGATTTGTGATATTTGTGCAATGCAAACTTTTTTTAAAATATTTTATTTATTTGAAAGTCAGAGTTACAGAGAGAGAGGAGAGGCAGAGAGAGAGGTCTTCCATCTGTTGGTTCACTCCCAAGATGGCCACAACAGCCAGAGCTACACCGATCCGATCCGAAGCCAGGAGCCAGGAGCTTCTTCCGGGTGTCCCACGCAAGTGCAGGGGCCCAAGAACTTAGGCCATCTTCCACAGCTTTCCCAGGCCATAGCATAGAGCTGGATGGGAAGTGGAGCAGCCAGGTCTTGAACCGGTGCCCATATGGGACGCTGGCGCTTCAGACCAGGGCTATAACCCACTGCACCCCACCGCCAGCCCCATGCAATGCAAACTTGAAATAAAAGTGGACCTCACTTTATCAGGTAGCTGAGTTCCTGAAAAGTAAATCCTATTAATTTCTAATAAAATTCAAGATAGAAAAGATAACAGAAAATAGACTAACAACAATGAAGAATATGAAGATACTACTAGAAATGTATATTTCAGTGTATTGGGAAAGATAAGAAAAAAATTTAATTCCATGAAATTAGGAAAGCTGTAGGTAGAAAACAACCTGAGTGTTTCATTAAATCCTAGAATATTTCATTTTTGTTAACAAAATCTATACAATATAGAAGATAATTTCAGCTTTACAAAGTAGATCATGAAGTTTTACAGAAAATAGAAAACAGTTACTCTCAAGAGATAGTAAAAATAATAATATTTCATATATTAAGAAGGTTCAGCTTTTTTAGCACATCTCACAGAATTCTTAAGGATATAAATGTCAATGCAAAAACACTTCTCCATACCATTTCACACAGTGCCATACCCCAAATAAAATAACGGCTGCTGATAAAACTGTCAAAAATCATTATTTTCCATAATTGAACAATGTTCAGGATATGCAAATATCTATCACTGACTTTCTTTAAAAAATTAGAAATGAGTTTGTCTAGAATAAAATGTCAGTGCCCATATTTTAATGAAGAGCATGGAGAGGATACACATATTTTTATTTTGTGTCAAAAATTTAGAAAACACGGAAGTACAATATTCTTTTTGATTTATAATTACCTTCTTACATAACACAGGTGTGCCTAATTTTACAATGGATAAAATGCCAAAGTTATATGTACATCAAGTTTTCAAACATCAAACTAAATGTACCTGAAGTCTTCTGCATTAAAAGTCCAATAATTAATTCTTAAGCGAGAAATTTTCCTGTAATACAGTTAGCTGATCCTCTAAATTTTTATTGAGAATTATGAATATCTTGTCTTGACTGGGTAAGAGAGTTTTTGTCTGTATGGTCTCATTTGGCAGTAGTAAGAGTCAACATTTATTGACTACTTACTATGTTTTATGCAGGATACTGAGTGCTTTACTTAAATAATATTAGTTAATCCCCTAATTTTGTCCTCAATTATAAATAAGAAAGTGAAGTTTGTTCAGTGTCACCCAGCTAGTTAAGTATGCAGACAGGATTTGAACATCTGTGTCCAATGGTTATCCAATGCTGTATCCAATGCTTCTTTATCATTTGTCTAGAATCCTTCAATACCGCTACAAAGTAAGCACAGCAGACTAACCATAAGAAAGCAAACTCTTTGGATATTCACTGATTTAACCAAACAAACCCAGTAAATAACAAAAATAAGTAATCGACTGAATCAATTTAAATTTGGTAATCGGTCAGTTTAAATAATAAATATGATTTTTCTTTTCAAAGCAAAAATATCCCTCTGCTTCATAGCAAGAGCTCACACAACTTTCCTTTGTAGCTTAGCTATCTCTTTGAGTGGGCATTTAGCCATTAAGTTTTTGAAGCCTCCATGCCACAGTAGGCTCAGGTTCCTTACTCGTTTCCTGCCAGTGCAAACCCTGGAGGCAGCTGTGATGGCTCAAATGATTTGGTTGCTGATCTTGTTACTGACACACACTTGGGAAACTTGGATTGCATTCCCAGCTCCAGGCTTCAGCCCAACCCAGTACTGGTCATTGTGGGCATTTGGAGAGTGAACCAGCAGATAGAAGCACACTCTTTATCTCTATCACAACTTCTCTACCTCTCAAATAAACAAAACTTTAAATAAATAAAAAAGGTATTTCTTTTACTCTATTGATGAAAGCAAATCATGAGAGAGAGAGAGAACCAAATGAATCACAATTGGCAAAAGCTAACAAATTCAAGTTTAGTACATCACACAGATATTGATACATAGCAGAGTTGATTTACCTGCACATGATTAAAGGTATCTGAAATTGTTGCAGAATGAACCAGCAACTATTGCAAAGAGCAGTCTAATATGATGGCTAGAACTAAATTATTGACTCTCACTAGACGGGTTCAAATCCCAACTCCACCACATACTAATTTCATGATCTTATTCACATTCATTTTCTGTGCTTTAGTGTCTTCAACTGTAAAGTGAACATAATAATAGTACCTACTATTGCTAAAAGGATTAAATGATTTAATATATAAAATGCTCAGAAAAGTGCCTGGTGTATGGTAAGCAAATATTTATCAAGTAGCTCAATTATTATATAATGAGATATGATTTTATTCAATACAGAAAGCATATTTACGGGTTTTTTTCCATTTTAAAAGATAGTTAGGCCAGCGCCATGGCTCAATAGGCTAATCCTCTGCCTTGCAGCGCCGGCACACCGGGTTCTAGTCCCGGTCGGGGTGCCGGATTCTGTCCCGGTTGCCCCTCTTCTAGGCCAGCTCTCAGCTGTGCCCCAGGAATGCAGTGGAGAATGGCCCAAGTGCTTGGGCCCTGCACCCCATGGGAGACCAGCAGAAGCACCTGGCTCCTGCCTTCAGATCAACACGGTGCGCCAGCTGCAGCACGCCGGCTGCAGCGGCCATTGAAGGGTGAACCAATGGCAAAGGAAGACCTTTCTGTCTCTCTCTCTCTCACTCTCCACTCTGCCTGTCAAAAAAAAAAAAAAGATAGTTATTGCTTCTTATCATTTTTCCTTAAAATAAATTTTCTTTTCTGAAAACATCTTTCTTTAGTCTTGAACTTGCTAGTCATAATCCAGTGAACAAACACCAGTTCATTTATAATACATTTACCTTTTCTCTAATTAGCTTTCCAATTTATTAAGAATAGTCTTTTTCCCCTTGGGCTAGAATTATTTTTTTAACTTTTATTTAATAAATATAAGCTTCCAAAGTACAGCTTTTGGATTACAGTGGCTTTTCCCCCCATAACCTCTCCCTCCCACCCACAACCATCCCATCTCCCAGTCCCTCTCCTATCCCATTCACATCAAGATTCATTTTCAACTATCTTTATATACAGAAGATCAATTTAGTATATACTAAGTAAAGATTTAAACAGTTTGCACCCACACAGAAACACAAAGTGTAAAGTACTGTTTGAGTACTAGTTATACTGTTAATTCTCATAGTACAACACATTAAGGACAGAGATCCTCCATGGGGAGTAATACTTCTATAATTTTATGCATAGATTTCCACCATTTTAATATTTTTGGGAATATCCCAAGTTACCATCTGTTTGTCAGTTTAAATTTGTAAAAAATGAACCAATATCTGGGGAAAATAAGGGTAAAGAGAAAATATTTGATATCCGTATCATGCACTTTGTTGTATGCTCAGTTATACTTCCAGGTTACATGGATGGAGAATATGCAAAAAAATCAGATTCCAAAGCCCAGATTCTAAAACGTGGAGGAACTACAAGTTCTCAAAAGGCTCTAGAAGAAAGCAGGAAAGCACTAAAAAAAGAAATATTTACAGATTCTGCTGAATCTTTGATATCAATACACAAAAAAGAGTCAAAAAGAAGGACAAAAGACAATGAATTGGAAAAAGAGAAGAAAGGGATGGATGTCGAGGTAGGCAGTAATGCTGAAATACCAAAAAGACAAAAATCTCAAATAAAGAAGAGTGATTCCATAATACCAGAAAGACCTGAAGCCCAAGAGAAGACAAGTGAAGAGGAAGTATCAGTAGTTCAGGGATCACAAAAAAAGACACACGAGGAAGCAGTACCAGAAGGACAGGAATCAAGTGAGGAAAAAGTACCAGAAGGAGAGCAAGTCCAAAAAAAGACGAGTGAGAGTAAAGCACCAGGAAAGGAAGTCCAAAAAAAGACAAGTGAGAAAAAAATACTAGAACAGGAAGTCCAAAAAATGACTAGTAATGAAGAAGTACAAGAAGTACAGGAAGCCCAAAAACAGAATAATGAGGAAAAAGTACCAGAAGCACAGGAAGTCCAAAAAAAGACAAGTGAGAGAAAAGCATCAAAACAAGAAGTCCAAAAACAAACAAGTGAGAGAAAAGTACCAGGAGAGGAAGTCCAAAAACAGACTAGTGAGGAAGAAGTACAGGAAGTCCAAAAACAGACTAGTGAGGAAGAAGTGCAGGAAGTCCAAAAACAGACAAGTGAAAGAAAAGTACCACGACAGGAAGTCCAAAAACAGACAAGTGAGAGAAAAGTACCAGTACAGGAAGTTCAAAAAAAGACTAGTGAGGAAGAAGTACAAGAAGTACAGGAAGTCCAAAAAAAGACAAGTGAGAGAAAAGTACCAGGATATGAAGTTCAAAAACAGACAAGTGAGAAAAAACTATCAGAAGGACAAGAAACCCAAGATAATGACAGCTCTGATGACAAAGGAAATACAGGCAAAATAATGGAAGATGCAAAAAAGGATCAAGAAGAAAGAAAAGATGCTAAAACCAAGGAAGGTGATAATGGAAAAGACAAAGGTAAAGGAAAGACCGAATCAGTAAAGGGCTCAATAAAGGGCAAAGGCAAGTAGAGAAAAGAAGTATAAGAAGTGGAAGAGTAAGGGTAAATAAAAGAAAGGTCCATAGGACAACTGATCATTATGATCCCCATCCTCCAGATACAAGCCATATCCAAGCTATCGCCAAATTGACTATAATTATAAAATCCCTTCTATTCATATACGTACAATTTTTGCTCTTCAAAAGTTTCACCATTTCTTAGACCTCTCAACCACAATCCTCACTTCCCAATGCTTATTTTATAACTTGATGCATATATTACTCAGTCAAGAAAGATTAGATGCTTCTTAAAATAAAACATTTGATTAAAGAAATGTACAATAATTTTTTATTGTGTAGTCTATCTCCATGGTAGCTATCTCCATGGTAGCATGCCCCACCAAACAATACACATCAGGATAGACCTAATGTTTACAAGGTCCTCTTCAAGCAATAAAAGATACATACAGACAAATAAGTCAGAGTACCTGCAACAAAGCTTGTAACATATACTTGGATAGTGATAAATGTGTACATGACAATTTAAAAAGCAAAATCGAGGTGTCAAAATAGTTTAGATGGACAATAAAATAAGAGTTCAGGAACATCTTATGGTCAGAAAGTAAGATGATTGTTTCATGAGGAAGGGAGTGGTGGTATTTGATGTGTCTCAAAAGACGGCTAGGATGTAACGCTAGTGTAGTAGAAAGAACAGAGGGAGGGAAAGGGCTGAAAGGCTGGCAAGCCCTACTCCAGGGTCAGTAGGTAATTTTTCTGACACAGAAGACTGATTAGAGGCATGTTAATATTTAATTTTGAAGAGGAAGTCATTTATGAGTTTGAAAAACAGCCTAAGAATTTATATTTTATTTCGTAGGCAGCTGAAAGCCTTCTGCAGTGTCTGAAAAGGCAAAATAGTGAAAAGGGTTGCATTACAAAATATGTTAGTGTTGTGATTGTGCAAAAAAATAGATTGAAGAAAATAAGCATCAAGTAGTATATAATGAAAGATGTTTGGAGTAAGCCACAGAAAAGAATAAATATGGGGGACAAATGCGAGATTTTTTTTCAAAAAAGAGTCACTATTTTATGACGATTGTCCTGAATACATATATGGAAAAGAAAGCAATGAAACAATTGGTGACTCTGTAACTTTTACAACTAGGTGAAAAAAATTGGTAATAAACTAGGAAGGAATAAATAACTGTTGATTTAAGAGGATAATAATTCCATTCATTCATGAGAGATCTAGAATTAGTCAAGTAGAGATAACAGTTGAAATTCTAAGAGTAAATTGAATGAACTCACTAAAGGAGAAAGTATAGGGTAGCAGAAGCACAAGGACAAGAACTGAGCTTGTTGTATATAATAGGTTGGAGAAGAATGTTAACTAAGGAAAACTTATGTAATGAAATGTGCTGATATTTAAGGATATTAAGAGTTTCCAAAAATGCATGATGAAAGGGTAACTGAGACTAGAAGGAAAATAAAGACTAAGAGACCATTGTTGTTGTTATTTGGAGATGACTCATGAACTTGCAAAGAGTACTTTACAAAGCAGGATTGCTAAAATAAAGAAGTTTGGCAGTTAGAATACAGAATAATAAGTCTATAACAGTGGTATATGCCTTCCAAAAGGAGTTCATTTTAGCCAACTTTAAAAACCATAGTTTTTTTTTTATCTATTTACTACTATATTCTGTGCTGGTCAGCACAAGAATATCACATTCAGTTCTGTCAAAGGATAAGGATAAATTCAAATGCCTTCAGGAGAGAAATTCTCAAGTAAGCAGTAAATTCACAGTTCACTTGGGGGAAAAATGCAAAGAAATCAGAATTATTTTCAAATATATGCATAGTCATCATGGATTAGAATATTTTCCATGGCCCCAAGGAATTGAAAGCAGTGAAACTACAATGTAACAGATTTTATCTCAGTTATGGGGAAATGGGAAACCCAAAAGAGTTTAAGGAGTTTAAGGCTGTGTGATCAGTGGTAATACTGCAAGATCCCCAGGAAACTGATATAGTTATAACAAGTTATCTTTATGAATCCTCCCAAAACTGAGGGTCTATAATTCAAAGTATTAAATTCTTTGCACTAATTAGGTGTCTTCCAAGGAAACTTCTCATTAGTGCTATGCTGATTATTTGAACAAATTTGACCCAAAAAATGCAGAAATCAGACTCTAGTCTTTGCCCAAAGTATAGGATATTTCATAAATGTTTCAAGTTACCCTACCAGAACTTTAGGAAGGTACCTCCACAGCTTCTAGCATAATCCACACTATTTGTATATCACTACTGTGTGCTGGTAATGTCGCCACAAGTATAGAAGCTAAGGCAAATTTTAGCAGCCTTAGAATCCTCCAGCCTTTAATGAACCACATAAAGTTAGCAGGACTGAATTAAAAATAAAAGGGGGAGGGGTAGTGAGAAAGAGAAAAAAGATAATGAAAATGAAATTTCTATAGCCTGTTTATTTTTTAAATATTTATTTATTTATTTGAAAGAGTTACACAGAGAGAGAAGGAGAGGCAGAGAGAGAGAGAGAGAGATCTTGTATCTACTGGTTCACTCCCCAGATGGCCGCTATAGCCTGAGCTGCACCAACCTGAAGTCAGGAGCCAAGAGCTTCTCTTGGGTCTTCCACGTGACTGCAGGGGTCCAAGGACTGGACTTGGACCATCTTCTACTGCTTTCCCGGGCCATAGCAGAAAGCTGGATCAGAAAAGGAACAGCTGGGTCTCGAACCGGCACCTATATGGAATGCCGGCACTTCAGGCAGCGACTTCACCGCTACGTCACAACACCGGCCCTCACATAAGTTTATTTTATGTCCCTAGAACATACACATCCAGAGATTTTACTATCCTTTGTTGACTTATATTTTGCACACATTTTGATATTATCACTGAAAATCTATAACCAAAAGGTTTTGTCACATAGTTACACAGTTTAAAGTATTTAGTTGCTCACCATCCCCATGTCATTTTTTTCTATAGGGATCTCTCTCTCTCTCTCTTCCATCTCACAGTTATTGATTAAATTCAGCTTATCTGATTTCTACTAAGAAGCAGGGAAGGGACTCCACAGTAGACAGACTTCAGTAATCCAGGTCAGCTGATTCCATATTTGTGTATATTCCACTGATTAGTAAGAGATGGATCCATAGAAACTTCCCTATATGTTCTCCATAACTTCTAACTTGAATCTAAAACATTTCACTGCCACTGAAATAAGCCATCCAATAGGAAATATGAAATTTTGTGAGCCATTCTCCAAAATCCACTGAAAAACCGACCAGTTTAAAGCAATTTTTTTGACAGGCAGAGTGGACAGTGAGAGAGAGAGACAGAGAGAAAGGTCTTCCTTTTTGCCGTTGATTCACCCTCCAATGGCCACCGCGGCCTGCGCGCTGCGGCCAGAGAACTCCACTGATCCAATGGAAGGAGCCAGGTGCTTCTCCTGGTCTCCCATGGGGTGCAGGGCCCAAGCACTTGGGCCATCCTCCA